CGCCGGGCCTCCCCTCCGCGCCGGGCCCGCGCTGCCTCACGGGGCCCCACCCCCCGCGCGCGCCCTCGCTGCCACAAGCTCCACCCCCCCCGGCGCGCCGATTGGCAGCGCGAAAAACCCCTCGGGAGGGGAGGGGCTTGCCAGCGAGCACTCCGATTGGGTGACCCGCTCACAGCCACGCCCGATGGGCCAAGGGGAGGTGCGCGGATGGTGACGCAGCGCGACCGCCACGCCGCGCTCAAGCTTTGATTGGTGCAGCGGCCTGCCCGGGCTCCTGACAAGTCCTCCGCCAGCTGAGGCCGCCGGAAGGGGCGGGCCCACGCAACGGACACCCGCTCCCTCCTCACCTCCCCACGCTTACGTCAAGAGCTGCCAGCCCGGGCTGCTCGCGCCGGGCAGGCTGCTGCACGTCCCCCTCTCCCCGCCTCGAGGCGCTGGCCCAGGCTTTGCAGCGGGGCGGGCAGAACCGCGCTCCGCCCTGCAGATAGCGGAGCCTGCGGCCTTCAAAGCGGCGCCGGGGTCCCGGGGTCCCTTCAGGGCACCCGTTTGGAGGGCAGACATCGTCGCACGGGCTGCAGAGCGCGGCGAGAAGCACCCGGTGGAATGTTTTCCGCCGTACTGTCTCGCCGGTTTGCTCACCGCAGAGCAGTAACGCGACTGAAAACGCAGCCCGGGCGGCGTGAAAATGACAGCTGTCACGCGGAATGCATCCCAACTCCACGCCAAGCCATTCCTCCGCGTCCTCAGGAGCGGCGTTTCATGCTCACGTAGCAGATCTCCGGACTTCGGAGTCAGGCAGAGGCCGCTACAAATAACTTCCCGATCTTACTGCTCTGCTGGGACCCGTGAATAGAACGAGGAAAAGACGCGCCTCTGCGCCGTTACATCAGCTGCCCCAGCATACGGCCTCCACGACGCGGGAAGGACGCGGCTGCCACCTGGTCAGGGCTGCTGCGCAAGCACCGACAGCCTCGGCCCTGCCTCTCTGCGCCTCTACGCTTCGCGGCTGCGGGCAAACCTTGTCAGCGGGGACACCCCCGAGGTCTGGAAGATGAGTAAGCTGAATGGACTGGTTACGGCAGGACGCAAAAACCCGCGCGGTTCGGAGTTTACGTTGGCTCTTATTTTCTGCTGCTCCCTTGTAGCCGTTTCCCCCCAGGATGGGGCGGAGGCCAGTTTATTTACTCCGCCGTTACCTTTCAATGCCGCTGTATGCGTACGTCCTTAAAGTATCAGATAATTCAACGCGCGCTAGATGAGCTTTTTGCTATAGCACAAAATAATGGAGAAATGACCTACCTATTAATTTCTCTTTTACCGTCGCGATTTGTATCAAATGCATTTTTTTTAAACATCAAATAATGTTATTTAAAAGTCTAATTCAAATTACTGTAATGAATTACACATTTGAGAGCACGAAAGGGGTAATAATTTGTCATTTAATTACAGCATTTCTAAACTTAAAATCATTATTTGTTATTTTAATGTAATCACTTTACTTTTAACACAAAGGAATTGTAAAGATTGTTGTTTCAGCCTGTGAGGCTCCTGGAGGCTGTAGTAACGGGGGTCACAGAGGGATCCCGGACGGAAAGCAGCAGCACATCGTTACACCGACCAACCACATAAAGCCTTGATACGTTTGGTTCTCCGAGAAACTCCAACCTTTCTGGTTTTAACCCGGACCTTAAACTCGGCAGTCATGGGATATGTCTTTTCAATACAGGCATTTCTTTTTTGTCTCATGACACGCAATTCAGTTTTGATGGTATTATAGACATTGTTTAAAAACTGCCATTTCCCTCTGACTGCTTGCGCCCATCATCAGAATTGTTCGTATTCTGCCCAGTTCTTCATGTTGTCACCTCTGTAGTTTTCCTACGGTTACTTCAGTTTCTTTAGCCATCGAGAACGTTGGTGCCAATACAAAAGCAACCCTAGGGTAATTAATTATTTCTGCACACCAAAGGAAACGGTTGCTGAGGGAAAAGGGGAAATACATTTCTGCTTTAAAATCAGACAGGTTCGCTACAGTATCTTGCTGGCACCTGCAGAGAACAATTTGCAGTTACACCACTGTTTACTGCTGCAGAAAGGCTGCCTGGCTGCTTCCAAACTGTTAGCACAAAGATCGTGTTTTGTTCTGAAAGTCAGTCTCCCCAGTGGCTCGGGAGCTTATATAAACTGGAACCTAAAAGGAGAACACGGCAGAAGATGCTGCCAGAACAGAATTTCATTCTGCTGGTTAATTTACTGACAGCCTGAAAAGTGCTCATTGAAGGGTACTACAGTTACAGTACATGAACCCCCAGAGAAACCTAAGCACAGTCAAAGAGCAGTGCTACAAAACGGTGTTGCCAAACCGTGCGCTGTCTTTATGGTAAAACAATTCCTTACCATCTGTAGTTTGCCATATGCAGGAATTTAGGAATGCTGGTGACTTAGCTGTTAGCCTGTGCTGTGAAAATAAAAAAGAGAGCAGAAGAAAACAGGCCATTTTTTATTTATAACAAAAACAATTAATTTTGCAAGGGTGCTAATAACAACCTACTGCCAATTTTGAAGCAGAATAGAGTCTACAAGACTGATACTTTGTGTGGTAGGAACACAGCCGCGTTTCCCTGTTACGTACTGAACCCTCTTAGTCTTGCTTTACTTTCTTATCTGGAAATTACATTTGTATCTCCATTGGCTTTTCTGAATATAGCACCACAGCCTTGTAATTTAAGGCACTGGAAGCCATGCAGCACAGAACCAACCAAATTTTGAAGACTCAGCAAGAGGTGGGAGAAGAGATTAATTTGTAAGGAGAGTCAGACTCTGACAAGACAAGACGAGACCTCTGTAGTCAGCATGGCAGAAACAGAACTGTTTGTACAATACCTTGTACAAGAGCATCTCAAACTCCATTGGCTTCAATAAGCAACTCGCTGAGAACATTTAACTTTCGCTCTGAAAAACCTATTCTGTTAAAACATCAGGAGAGTTCCTCTTGCTCAAAAGAGAAATTTCTCACCTCAAGACACTAAACAAAGCCGTTCGGAAAACATCACATTGCTTTATCAACGCTGCCTCCACAACATTTCCTAAGATTTTATTTTTTCTTTTCTAAAAAGGGAAGCTCACATGAAACTTTACACAATAGTTGTCCTTTAAGGCAATGGTAAAAAATGTCTGCTTTACAACGTGTACACACAACTGGTACACTGAGCCAAAGGTTAGATAAGGTTAGAGAATTGCATGCGGCACGTAGCCATTCAGCACGGATAACAAAATGAGATTCTTTCAATCAAATATAGCCTAAGAGAGAATGCTGTAAAATGACAATTTGCTGATTTCTGCCAACTTTCAGCACATGCTAGTCCCACGTTCTACCTCTGCAGAGCAGAAGAGAACCATGCTGTCCCGTAAATCAGCCCAGGGCAGACCTCTCTTCTCGGACTCTTCTCCCTCTTGATTTCAGTGACAAAAGCCAGCTCTGCGGAGCCAAGACCAAAGTACCCAGATAGCTCCCAAGTTATTTCGTGTAGAACAGCTAACATTTTGGCAGCATATTTTTACTCTACAAACTAAAACGTATCAAAGATGTCAGAAGGTGACAGAAATTACCTCACGACGATGCCCGAGGACGGAGCAGTCTTTAACCGCGCGCAGCTGAGAGGCACAGGCAAGGCGTACTCGCTCTCCAAGCTAAATGGTATCGTTATTTCAGAATTCTACACCGCTTTATGTCAGAAAACCCCAGAGTCGCTGTTGCAAGCTTAATTAACCCTCGGAGATGGACCTCCTACCTCAGAGGTTATAAGCACCTCTTACCAGAGCACGACCGCCAGCCCGAGCCCGCCCG